TTCTCGGCACTCTGGCGGTTGTGGTACATCAATTGGTCTATTTCTCAAAACCTTTCTTGTTCACAAATAATGTTAAAGTATATTTAGATTTTATGAAATGATGACCTGATCTTTTATTGGCCATGTCATACCTGACAGGCGTCTGGCGATGGTTGGCTAAAAGAGCCAGCGCAGAACATGGACACTGGATCGATGGATTTTCTGTCTAGTCCGGAGCGCCGGCACAGTTTCATCGCTATAGTCTTTATGGTGGAGGACTGGAGGTACGTCGCGCTGGGCCCGCCTTCCTGGTTCACAAATAACTATTTCTTACTACCCTTGTAAGAAATTCAGTACAATTTTAAGTCAAATAAATTACGCGCAGTTTTCCCCATCCCGAAACTATAGCCGGTTGATCTGCCAGGAGCCTGGTCTCTTTGGCGATGAGACCTATAGGCAGCACGCGTGCAGAGAAGCGCAGTGGCGCGTACAGCCGCACGAGGCCCACGTCGTTGCTCTTCGTCTTACTGGCGTAGCGCGGGTGCACGAAGCATTGCTTCACGTCGTACATTTCGCCTCCGTGCGTCTTCCACGACGAGCCCAGCCGCACGCTCAGCTCGCTGGCTTGCGATCTGATAACAATGAAGGTGAAAATTTTGTGATTATTTTAAATTATCTGTTATATTAAGCTACAAGTTGACATTTGATAAAACCCTAATATTTTTCGTGTGCTTTTTTAATCCATTTTAGCCGAAGTAGAGTGTTTCCACAATACGTATACAGGTTATAGTAAGTACTTAATGAGGCAATGCGCGGCGGTGAGCAGCCAGAGGTCGGTGATGATGGAACCTCCGCAGATGGGGTAGGTCTTCTCCCGCAAGGACACCTGCCACGGCACCGCCGCTATCGACGTGTTCTGTCCCGACACTATGCGCCGAGTCGACCCTATGATTTGTTACAATGATCATAAACAAAAGTACAAACAGATAAGTAATTAGTCAAAAGAGTAAAATAAATATATACAGTATGTAAATAGTTTTAATCTTTGTAATAAAATAACTAAACCAGTTAAATGAATGTTCCTACTTACCTGAACGGCGTGTTCCTAGGAATCAAAATAATATTCTATGAAATAGAAGTACCATACAAATTGGAAGTATCATTTAAACAAATAAGTGTTAAGCATATGTCGCTTCCGGAAGCCTATGTATAATAATGTTTCATTTACTATAATTAGTCAAGAATCCGCGCTGATTCCTAATTACAGTATGAATGGGTTTGTTTTATGTTTCAGCTAGAATGTATTTGAAACACAGTATATATATATATACTAGTTAATGTTATAAAGATGAAAGATTTGTATTTTTGGTAAACACCAACATACATACAAAACTGTATGTATTGACATAACTCAAAAACTACAGGACCGATTTCAAAAATTCTTGCACTATAAAAAACTATGTTTTCACTGAGTAATTTACTTAGGTTTTATATATATACATTTTGTAATTTCACTCGGGTAAAGTCGCGAGCAACAGCTATGTTTAATAATCTTATTATACTTAGATATATTAAGATCTTACTAATATTATCAATGGAAAAGTTTAAGTTGTTTAAAGGATTTTAATGAACTTTAGTAACTAGTTGCAGGCGAAAGCAACAGTGGTAGAGCCCGCTTTAACATCTTCGCACGAATGGGTCGGCTCGCCTGATGGAATACCACGACCACACAGAAGACAGGCGTGAAGTTGGAGCAATTCCGCGTTTCGTCTGATGAGTGTGGTGCCGGAGGCCTAATTTTAGCCCCTTTCACTTTCCACCCTTTTCTTAAGAGTAAGGGATGGGAAGGAAAAGTGAATTTGACGGTGGAGGAGACGCATAGGAAGAAGGAATATCCTCTTTATGAGCGTCTCCTCTACCGTCTAATAAGGGTAGGCAACGCATCTGCAATTGCGGATGTTTATGGGCAGCGGTCGCTTCGCCATTTCAGCGGTTTCAGGTGGCCGCTTGCTCGTTTGCTACCTTGTAATATAAACAAAGTAAAGCTATTCGTATAAATCTTACCCATCAAATTGTTTAACAATGTTCCATATAACTCTTTATATTTATCACGAATAGCTTTTTGATTCAGAAACCCTATCAAGTCGTCTTTATTGCTTTCCGCTTCTTTTGCCAGCTGCGAGTAATCTATGGTAGTGCTGAAGTGTATATCGTTACCAACAACGACCGCACACGTGAGGCACATTGCTTGAAGAATTCTGTACACTTCAATTGTCATTTTGCTTTTTTAATGCATTTTTTTAGATATCGAAACTCATTTAAGTTGTATTGACGAACGATTGCGATTCTTATGAATGGTACAAAATACATTTGACTTGAAGCTTAAATCAAGTATCAAATTAAATTACTGTGCCTCGATAACGGCAATATTGACCGTATAATAAATATTGTGATCGATCGAACATTTTTTATTGTCTCGTATTTAACTACCGTGGCGTACGTATGTGCGCAATGCAGTGGTTTTTTCAACCGATACCATTTCATTTGTTTATATACAAACAAAAGACGTATAATAAATGACGTGTTATAAAAATATTAATAACCTAATTGTTATGTATACGAGTATACACAACACTTGTGTTTAAAGGTAAAAATTACGAATCATGGTTGGGGGTTACGTTCCCGCCATTCGACTATTATCGTAAACAAAAATTCTAGCACAAGCCTAGAGCTTGGATAAATACAAGAAAATTAGTGAATTAATAAACATAGAGTACGGACGGAAAGAAGATGTTAGCAAATTGTTGTATTTTGATTCATTAGTAGAGCGGCTTGCGTCTAGTGAACAAAGTAGTAAACTTATCACTTAATTTCTAACTAAACATTAATTTAGTCTAAATATAGTGATAATTCGAGGTACGTAACGTAAATCATATCTTTAAATCTACACTACCATTGATATTATTATACTGTACCTAATGAGCTCCTTAATCTCTTGTCTTGTCTTTGTTCTTGGTCCCGTCAATACGCCTGTTGTTATAAAAGAGCAATTCCACATGTAACGGCCTATGAGCGCTACGCGCCTGCTACTTTGCGAGCAGCAATGCTTTGACTTAAGTCAAAATGGGCTTGAGCTCATCGTCTCAATATTAAGATTTTATTAATCCACATTCAATCTCAATGTGTCATATTGTGGACTACATGGCAACTTGGCTTGTCTCTTGGCAAAAAATTGCTATATTTTTTAATTTATTTCGTAGTTACATTTACTGTACATTTTTTCTAATCTTGTGATGTAACAGCGGAATAAGTAAATGATCATGAGTTTTCAATTTGGAATTAGAACACATCACAACACGTGGCGAATTTTTAAATTCTCCTAGTTATCTACATATATTAATTGTTTCTAAATAAAAGGTGTTGAAGACCGCAGGCATGATTTATTTTACTCCAGAACCTAAGTTACACCCTCACTTGACATAGAGGGAGCCTTCGATAACGCCTGGTGGCCGGCGATCAAGTGCAGGTTAGCCGAAACTCGGTGTCCCGTTAACCTGCGGCGCCTTTTCGATCACTATTTGAGTGATCGGAAGGTGCACGTTAGGTACGCGGGCGCCGAGTGGACCCGAGAGCCGACCAAGGGGTGCGTGCAGGGATCCGTTGGGGGTCCTACGCTCTGGAACCTGCTGCTGAATCCGCTCCTGGTGGAACTGGAGGAGATGGGCGTCCGCTGCCAGGCGTTTGCGGACGATGTGGTCCTGATCTTCTCGGGCGAAGGTGCCACGGACATACAAGGTGTAGCTAATGGGGCTCTCGAACATGTTCGGAAGTGGGGTGTCAAGAACAAACTAAATTTCGCGCCTAACAAGACCTCGGCTATGGTCATTACCAGAAAAATAAAATATGACACCCCGCGTCTGAGCATGGGCGGGAGGCCCATTGAGCTCACCAACAAGATGAAGATCCTGGGGTTGACAGTTGACAATAAGCTCAGTTTCAAAGCGCATATTGAAACAGTTTGTAAAAAAGCGCAGAGCCTCTATCGTCAACTGTCAACCGCAGCAAAGGTCTCGTGGGGCCTGAACCCCGAGGTGATCAGGACCATATACGTCGCGGTGGCGGAACCCATCATTATGTACGCGGCTAGCGTGTGGGCGCCAGCGGTGGGGAAGAAGAGCATCCAGAATCTTTTGAGGCAGGTGCAGCGCGGGTTTGCGCAGAAGATCGCGAAAACTTACAGGACCGCCTCTCTGCACTCGGCCCTAACACTTGCTGGGTTGCTTCCTCTGGACCTACGGGTCCAAGAAGCGGCCCTTCTTTACGAAGTAAAGAAGGGTCATACCCACCAGGTGTTAGGAGACCTTGTGCTAGAGAGGCCGGTAAAATTCGAAAAGTCTGCGCACCCCGCGCTGCGACAGGGCCTGCAGTTCGACTGCCTGGCCGACGGTGACGAAGTTGCCCAGCGAGCTGCCGCCGATGTGAATATTTACACCGACGGCAGCAAAATTGACGGCAAAGTCGGCGCGGCGCTATCAGTATGGAATAGCGCCGCGGAGATCACTTGCCGGAAATTAAAACTGGGGAACTTCTGCACCGTATACCAGGCGGAACTGCTGGCCCTGAGTGAGGCCGTGAAGTATGTAGTGAAAAGTAATGAAAGGAGGTTTAGTCTTTATTCCGACTCTAGGTCCGCTCTCGAAACCCTAAAAAGTGGCATCTCTCTCCATCCCCTCGCAGAG